TCCCATGGCTCCTGCTGCCTGGAGGCTGAGGAGCCAGGATGGTCTGGGTTCCTGGCCTGCACCCCTTTCCCAGTACACGGCTCAGATGCCAGCTCATCAGCCCTCTCCTGCCGTACCAATCTTTCCATCATGCCTGATGAGCAGTCAAATGGTTCAAGTATTTCGTGTGGAAAAACTCAGCATGTGACAAGGACACTTGATCTACTGTTCAAATCTAATTCCTCACATTTTCTTTTACTCAACCAAAATACTGGATGGGAAAAGTCCTCAGCCTGGCACACAAGCTCTTCCTTGGGTTGCTTCCTGCTGACCGCTCAAAGCCCCTTCCACTAGAACAGGCCTGAAGACACTGAGAGACAGGGCTCAGGTCTGGCATGGTGGTGAAGTCTGAAGGGCAGATGTATAGCTGTGTAGAATCTCCCGACTCAGGAGAGCTTGCCCTCTGACAACCCAGGGCCACAGTCTTCTTAGCCAAGCGGAGGTCTGTGTGGAGTGGAATTTCCCTGTCAGGATGGCAGGGTAAAGAGCAACTCTGTCCGAAGCCACCGGCCGCACGGGGCTTCTCATCTCCACTCGGCAGGATTCCCGTCTCACTCCGCTTTCCCCTGCCCTGCTGCAGGATGACCACTCCCTGGTGTACCTGCTCAGCCCCCCCTTTCATGGCCTCAGATGAATTCGAATCAGATCATATCGCTTGCCCCCAGAAAGCTTCCAGGATCCAGCTCCTTACACCAATTCGGGCTGTGTACCCTCATTGTGTCCCAACCATGCATTGCTAGCCACTCCAGGAGCAGGACCACAAAATCCTCGTTTACTCTACTGGCTACCTTTCCTTCCCAGGTGCCCAATCAGGGACCAGTGGTGCACACAGTAACTTGGTAAGTGGGAATGTGTTTGGCTACATTCAGCATCCCTGTGGCAAAGGCACCTCACTGACCAATGGTATGTCCAAAGCAGCAGCTTGATGACTGAACACAGGGATGCCTTGGGGCCACACAACTGCACACTAATGCCCCCTCACCACACACACCCCACTAATTGCCTACATCCTCTCCAGCCTGAAAGAGACACCCTCCTTTTGAGGTCAATTGCAGATCACTGTCCACATAATGGACAGCTTATAAGCCCACCCAGCTCAGCTCCATTCGAGTTTGGTATAAGGTGCTCTCTTCAGTGCAAATCAAAGCACTTGCCAAGGAAGGGCAGCAGCGAAGGACACCTGAAAGCTGCCCAGTAGGGGCCGGAGCAAGGAAACGCAGCACCTCAAACAACACACTGGAGACGCTTGTACTTGGAGTCACCCCAGCCACGCTCGCCTCCTTTGACAATTTAGGTGGAGGGAGGCTCACATACCACCTGCCAAGTGGGCACAAGGCCTGGGGTTTGAGTCCTGTGCCCTTTAGTTTCACGGAGCTGGGACTGTACTCTTCTGATCTCCTTAGTAAAATCAACTTTGCATTCTTACAGGTTTGCCCAAAGCCTGCAGAGAGCAGTGTCAATCCAGTCATCGTTGGGGCTGTAATACAGCTCCAACACTCCCAAGTTCAACAGCACACAACCTATTTTCCTCACTTCCTGTCAGTCATTTGCTCAAGTCCTTCAGCCTCCACTGTTCTGTCATCCTGAGCCTCAAAATAACTTAAGATCCAGAGTGGCAGAACAGGTACCCTTCGAAGCCCTTGGTTTGACACTAACCCAAACATCCAGAGGTACTAAAAGAAGCAAAGGGTGTTTGCTATAGGGGACAAGCTGATGAGGGTGCTAACAGGCTGAAGCAGAGGATGGTTGCCAGGAAACTCTTACCTACAGCCATCACACAGAAAGGTGAGCCACATTGGCTTCAGCTGTTTCAAAAACAGCATCACTATCAAGGAAAACTGGAAGGCAGCCAGTTTGTCTAACAGGTTGTTTCTCTGGAAAACCTGGCCCACCTTCTGGAGCCCAGGCAGCATGCCTGTATGCTGACCCTACCCACATTTAGACACAGAAAAGGCCCATGAACATCCTGCAATCCTTGCCACCCTTCCCACTTGCTCCAGCTAGCTATTTATCAGCCTGGCACCAGATTTTTAAGAAAACCAGTTTTGGCCAGGCAGTGGTAGCACATAATCCCAGCACTCAAGGCAAAGGCAGGCGGATCTGTGTGCTGCACATTCAACAGCCCAGCCATACATGACTTGCTACCCCACACTGCGACCTAACCCTGAACCAACACATCCTGTAACCATAGGCTGCTCTACTGCTTCCAGACGGTAGCTCAGCAATCAGCCTCCCCGGGGAACAAGGGCTTCTCAGTAGCCCTGGCTGTCCTGTAACTCACTCTGCAGACCAGGCTGAGCTGCTCGTGCTGGGATTAAGTGCACACACCACCACTGCCTGCCTCTGTACCTTGGCTCATCCTGCTCTACAGCCCTGCAGCCACTATGACAACCAGTCCAACCCATGTCCCAGCTTTTAACTAGCTGCTTATTCCCAGCAAGCGACTACACCCTCCAAAGAAAAAGCTTCATACCCAAGCCTGTAACCACCTTTGCTCTCCAAATTGAAGCCTACTCCTTGTTCCCAACGCTGCCCAACTACTAGGCTTTTCAGTAGCTGTTCACTGCTTCAAGATGTCTGGTCCCACATGGATCCATACTGATATAAATGTAACCTTTACAGAGAACCTGTGCTTCCCTGAAAAGCTCTCAACCAGCACTAGCATGTGCAAAGCCACAGGTTCTACCAGAAAGGGAAACAAATGTAGCACCCATAAGTAGGACTCCTACTCAAACACCTGACTTGATGAATTCACAATTCAGGCCCTTGACTTTGATCTCTCCCAGTATCAGGCAAAGTGTCTGTTGCTGGCCTGGCAGTGCCACAACACATGCTGCCTAGCCTGGGGAAAAATATAAAGACAGACCCATTTCCATTAAACATGAAACTTGGTAAGGCTGCCTTAGTTTCAAAACTTAATAATTACAGAACTGAGCCACACTAGCAGATTCAGCTTCAAATAAAGTCAGGAGCCAGGCATGGGGGCAGGAAGAAAGCCTTTAACCTCAGGACCAAGGAAGGCAGCCTGATCTGGTCTCCAGACCAGCCAGAACTAGAGATCATCTCAAAAAAAAAAAAAAAAAAAAGAGAGAGAGAGAGAGATGGGGAGGGGGGGAGGGGGGAAGGCCAGGGAAACCACCTAACACAAATGCTAACAGGACACACTTGATTCTGGTCCTATATTTTGCCCGTTCATACTCAACACTCACCACCCCCGCCCGCCAGGAAGGATATGTATCAGCCCCTTATACAAGCTGTCACCTAAAGCTTAGGTGGTGAACTGAACCACCTAAGCAGCCATACTTCTAATACCCAACGAACAGCAGAGACACATAAGCTTTTTAGTTTATTTGTCCTCTCAGAAATGTGCACATCACAGCAGATCAAGTCACCGCAGATCTACTCCTTTGGCTGTGAAGAAAAAAAAAAAAAATTCAGTTAGCAACAACTGGTCTTAAGGTCTTTAAAGTTCAAAATAAACTAAAATTAACTCATGCAGAACAAGTACTAATAACCTAAATAAAACAAACTGTAAAATGACACAAACATCCAAAAATTACACTCAAGTTAGAAAAGAACAAAAACAAGTTAGCATCTCTGAAAATGTAGACAGTCACTGTTAGCACTGTCACAAACCGAGCTTGCCAATCTACTCAGTATCATGCACTTGCTCAGATTCTATGACCTACGGAAGAGCTTGAAGTATACCTGTCTCCAATCTCCACTCACTGCGTCAGTAGCAGGAAAGGGGGGATGGGGAGGAGGAAAACAAGACAGTTCATTAGTCAAGTACATGCAATCAGATACCTCAAGTGACTATTCTGTGGTTGTGCATGGAGCACCTTTCCTGATTACCACAGCTCCAATACTAACAAGGTGGAAGGCAACAGCATTAAGGCAGATCCACATTGCTACAACCAGCATGTAGATGGTGGGTGAAGGACATGTTCCCAAGGCTGGGCCCTCTGGTTCTGCCTAGCCTTGCTGTGCCAGAGGACCCAGACTTAGGAATCTTTATAGACTACATCGGGAGCGCTCAAATGATTAGGCAAGCCTTTTGAAATTTGTTCCAATTTCATACCAATCTTGGATACCACAAGGCATACAAATTAGCAACAAAATTCAGCTGAAGTAAAAAATACAATTACTACTTTGCAAATGTGATTACTGATGCCTCGGTTTAAGCTCCACTGCATACAAAGGAACACTAGGTCCCAACATCAAGCAAAACAGTTCAAAGGACATTAGTAAGGCTGTCAAATGGCCTTCAGGTCTGGCTCAAACAAATCCTCATCACTGAAACTTCTATCAAATAGGTGTAATCTGCAACACTTATGCAGTGTCCATGGGCAGTGCTCATTAATTCCACAGTGCTGACAGAAAGAAGTCAGTCACTGATTATGGTCTCAGGCAGACAGTTTGAAAGGCAGGCAACAGGGGGTGGTGGACACATTTCTAAAACCCTACAAACTCAATCCCACTGCAGGTTACAAATGTAGAGTAGGGAACCATTCTGATTAAAATGCATGTGGTAAAGTATTACCCAAAGCTTCAATGTAACCTCAAAGTTTTCTGATAACAGACTAGTTGAGAATGGAAATGCTAAGACCAACCAGCTTAGAGCAGATGCGGCTCCCAAGACAATGTTAGTCTTGCAGCACCCAAGAGGATGCGTCGCTGAACTACAAGCTAAAGAACCAGAGCACCTACCTTCCTTCAGTCTCCAGCCCCATGTAACATGCATTTCTGAGTTTCCAGAATCAATATAAGCTTTTCCTTCTGGTAGTTAAGATACTATTTAAAACAGGGCACTGGCATTTTAGGCCATATGATAAAAACTGTTGTCCAAAAGCCAACATGCAAAGCATCAGAGCCAGCCTAGTGAAAGTGGCACACCCCACACCGTGCCCAATCTCAGTACCTGCTAGAGATTTCATTTCTGCTGAACAAGAAATCCAAGACAGTAGAGGAAGGGAAAAAATTTACAGAACACTTGATTATTCAGCAACCCAACACCATAATTCCATTCTACTATTCACAATTAGCTAGCGAAGCTGGTATAAAGCTACTACTCAAATCACTGTGATCTCAGCTAACTGGAGAAGAAAGCAGTTCGACATTTGTGAAGCACAGGCCACATGGATCCAGCTGCTTCAAAAACTAGCATCCGTGTTGAAAAACAAAATGAACTCCCAGGGAACATTATCTACCCTCCCTTGAGGGATCTGTGCCAATTAGCATGAGGAGGACACTTCCAGAACAATCAGGGCTGGAGAGCACCCACTATGATCTCTGAACCAATGTGGCCTTTTGGTGGGAGTGTGCTAGTCTATGAGCAGAAGAGGTGGGCCAATCTACTCTAGGATATGACTATGCTACTGAGCTTCTCAAAACATTACCTTCTGCAGTCCAGAAGAGGGAAAAGGAAAAACACCAAGAAAGGTTATTTAGGAAACCCCTTTTCAGACCATAAATATTAAGCTCATTAATTGACATCTCTGTATCTGCCATGAACCATACCTTTTTGCCAGCACCAACGTTGGCCTTCGCAGTCCCCCTGACCTTCTTCATTCTGTTCTTGCGTTCCTTTCGTTGTTTACGGGAGGTCTTTTTCTTTTCATAAAGGCCATGCTAAGAGAGAAAAATGCATCCAGTGAACTCAGTCCTCACCACCCTGATGGGGAAGCTGAGGTGACAGAGAACTTAGCTTGAAACATAGCTTTACAAACCATCGCAACTTCTGAAGCTGTGTCACACTGTTGACAATCTTGCCTTTCAATGCCTACTTCTCTAGTGAGAGCTCTCCCTCACACTGTGGAGATCCTAACCCACTAATCTGCCCTTGGCATTCCTGACAGAATTCAGAATTCCTGAGGGCTCCTAGCCAATTCTTCAGCAACAGATTCCCAGAGCACCACTTAAAAAAAGTCTATATAGCCAGGCATGGTGGCACATGCCTTTAATCCCAGTACTTGGGAGGCAGAGGCAGGCTTACCTGACTTATAGGCAGCCAGGGTAACACCCAGTCTCAATAAAAATAGGTCCAGTAAATCTTCACATAAAACTGTTATACCAGAGGATTCATCATAAAAAGGAGTAAATGGATTCAAGAGACATCTGGGCATGGTGGTCCACACAATCCTAGCACTCAGGAAGCTGAGGCCAAGTAATTTCCAGTTTTTGTAGCTAGCCTTTGCTAGAGACAATGCCTGTAATTTCACCAGTGTAGAGGTAGAGGATCACAAGTTCCAGGCCAGCCTGAGCAACAGTGAGAGGCCACCACTCTCACATCCAGATCCATCCTGGTCATAAATTATGAGTTTTGGACTAAATATAATTCAGGTGCTCTTTGTGCATTGTAATACATATGAAATGACCAACTTTTCCTAAGCATACATGGCAGCCAGCCTCGACCAACAAAACAAGGCAGGTATTGCACTGTATATCTGCAATAGCACTACTTACGAAGCCGAGGGAAGGCTGTTGAGTTCCAGTTCAGGAGAACAGGTAAACTACATGGAGACGGGCTAGTGGGTAGGAGGTAAGCACAAGTCTGGAAAGGTGTCCAGATACCATACTTTATGACGTCTATTAAAGTCAAGAGGTTTAAGTTTAGACCCAACCCCCTAAGGAACCTGTGCATTAAGCAAACAACTCCCAACTAACCCTTTTAAAATTCCTAGTAAGTTTGTTGTTCCTTCCCAAACAAACTTGGTTTGCTTGGTTACTCACGCTTATCTGACAGCACAGTGATAGAGGAAAGCAAAAATCTTCTAACTTGCCATCCTGCCTCAGCCCAGGCTGGAAATTACAGGCATGCACCCTGATTAGAACCAAATCTTCAATAGTCGCTGCACAAAAGATACCTACTCTTGCAAGTCTGTGTTTAGGCTCATTCTTCTTTGCATAATCTAAAGAATCATAGATCATGCCAAAGCCAGTTGTCTTGCCACCACCAAAGTGGGTTCTGAATCCAAATACAAAGATGACATCTGGTGTGGTTTTGTACATTTTGGCCAGCTTTTCCCGAATTTCTGTCTTTGGTACTGTTGCCTTTCCAGGGTGAAGAACATCGATGACCTAAAAAGAGGTATAGTTCTAGTATCTGTTACAGTTAACTACAAAGAAAGCACTACAGACCCAACTTCAGTGAGCCCACCCTTACCATCTGTTTCCTCTGAAGCAGACGGTTTGTCATGAACTTCCTGGTCCGGATGGTCACTGTGTCATTCTGCAGATAACACACAAGTCAGTAAGATCACATTCACTTTTCTTGTGCATTCACTAATTCATTCATTACTAGCCAATGCGGCCTAATAGACACAGGAGTTGGGGACAAGCTGTAAACTACCATTAAGACTCATTTCCTCCCATCTGTCATCAGCACTGTAAAATTATCATTTGGGGTTAACCTCAGCACTATTGGTTTTGTGATCTATTAGCACCAGTACAGAACACCCTCCAGTAGCTGCAACTATCACTTCCAGGGCTGAGAAGTCTCAGTGGTTTCCAGGATTACCTCACCTTTTCCCTCAGAGTATGAAATAACAGGGTAGCTGGCATTCAGCAAGCTTAAACAGTCTGGAAATCTGTCAAAGACCTTACTTAAATCAGCAAAAGCTTGCCTTTCGACCTCGATCAGTAGCTGGCTCAAGTCGCCTCGATAGTACCATGCCTGAGGGAAAGCGAACGAGCAAAGCCACCCTGGGACGGCCTCCCTTCGATCCTTTTAATCCCCCCAACACACCCCAAGTCTACTCCGCCGGAAAGTTCGCGGGCTTACTCGAAGGGTCCATCGGCGCAGGAGCCGGAGGCGCTCTCCTCACCTCGGCCTGCCGGCGCCGGCCTCGCCCCTGCCCCGAGAGCCCAGCGGGGAGGAGGGCGGCCCCGGGCGACCGGCCTCCGCGAGGCAGGCTGGGGTTGGGTGAGGGGGCCCGGGGCAGCCGCAGCCGCACTGTGGGGCCTGAGCGGCCGGGGATGGCACGGATAGGCGACGGATTGCGCCGGGAGCCCGAGGAGACTCACCATGATGACCGCGGCGCGCGACGTGCAGAGGAGGAAGAGAGGCCCGAGCGCTGCCGACCAATCATATCAACGCTCACGGAAGGACCCCGGACGGGGCGTGGCCGAAGGCTTGAGGCCGACCGTGCTGAGGCCTGACTGAAAACGCGCGCTGGAAACGCCGGAAGGTCGCGCCGCCGGGCTTTAACGCTCCGCCGCGGGCGTGGACGAGCCGAAGGTGGGTCCGTCGGACTGGTGGTTTCACCCTCCGTGCTCCCGAGTCTCCTCTGTTCTCCCCGGCAGGCCCTCATGCTGTAACTCTGCCTGTCCTGGAGCTATCACCGCGCAACGGGACCACCTCGAACTCGGATCCGCCTGCCTCTGCCTCCCGAGAGCTGGGGTTAGGAGGCCTGCACCACCACACCCCGCACAGTTCTCAACCCGCAGGGTGCAACCCCTGTGAGGGACAAACAACCCTTTCACAGGGGTCACCCGATGCCATAAAAACACTGAGATTTACAGTACGATTCAGAATCAAAGCAAAAATACAGTTAAGCAGAAGCAGTGAAAATTATTTTATGAGCTGGGCATGGTGGCACAAACCTTTAATCCCAGCACTGGGGGGGGGGAGGCAGAGGCAGGCGGATCTCTGAGTTCGAGGCCAGCCTGGTCTACAAAGCTAGTCCAGGACAGCGAGGACTATTACACACAGAAATCTTGTCTCAAAAAAAAAAAAGCCTTTCAGCAGCCCCATTTTATACCAAAAGATTGAGTTTCTATAAATCTTACATAAAATCCTTTCTTATTTCATGTACACAACCCTGCACATTGTTAACTATTTTTATAAGGTTTTTCATATGTGAAGTTTCACATTCTTCAAAACAGGATCTTGGGATGAAGTCCAGGCAAGGCTTTGAAGAAGCCAAAAATGATCCTGAATTCCTGATCCTCCTGCCTTCACCTTCACTTAGCAATATATTAGATTGGGAGGGGGTTGTGGTCGTTTTGGTTTGGTTTTGAGACTTAACGCTCTCTAAAAATTTGGTAAGTCAAGTATAGTCAGGCAAGAGGATCAAAAGTTGAAGCCTGCCCTGGGCTACACAGTGATTTGCAGACCAGCCTGAATAACAAGACTGGATCCTGGCTCCAACTAAAACTTTAAAAGAATCAAGGATAGTACAAGATAACCACACTATAATCCACAGACCCAAAGAAGCGAAGTAACAGGGAGGGTAGAAGAATGTCACTCAGAAGGGGAAAGAGAATAGACAGCAGAGTGGAGGAAGAGAGTGCCCCGGGGCAGGAGATGGAATGGGGAAGGAAACAAGGGTGGGGATCAGATGTGGGAGAACAGGGGTGGGAAGTGAGAGGGCTGGGAACAAGAAGGGAAACTGAGAGGGGACATCTCTATGTCAAGCTGGAGGCCTGTGACAGGGTAGGCTCCTGGGAGGACATAGGTGTGACTCTGGCTGAGACTCCTAACAGGGGGGGACATAAAGACTGAGGTGACCACCTCGTAGGCAGGCAGAACTAGTGGAAGAATGGAAACAACCCACCCACACAACCTTTGATCCAAAAATTACCCTGCCTACGAGAAGTGTAGGGCTAAGGAGGGAACAAAGATTGAGGGAATGTCCAACCAGTAATTGGCCCAGCCCATGATAGAGAGCCAGCCCCTGACACTGTTAATGATGCTCTGCTCAGCTTGCAGGCAGGAGCCTAACTTGACCATCCTCGGGGAGGCTCCAGCCAGCAGTGGATGGAGACAGATGCTGGGACTTGCAGCCAAGCATGGGGTGGAGCTCCGGGGGTCCCGTGGAAGCATTGTAGGAAAGATGGAAGGACCTGGAGGGGACAGAAACCCCACAAGACCAAAGGAGACAACTAACCCAGTCCCATGAGCCTACAGAGACTGAGCCATCAGCTAAGGAGCAGGCATGGTCTGGACCTAGGCCCCCTGCATGCATGGAGCTGATGGGTGGCTTGGTCTTCATACGGGGGGCCTGGCGAGTGGAGGAGGGGGCTGTTTCTAACATGGACGCTAGTGCCTGCTTTTGGATCACTTCCCCTGGGAGAGCTGCCTTGCCTAGCCTCAGGGGGTGAGAATATGCTCAGTCCTGATGTGACTTGATGTGCTGGAGAGGGTTGATATGCAGGAAGGGGCACTTCCCTCTTTCTGGAAGGAAAAGGAGAGAGGAAGGGGAAAAGAAGGGAAGGAGAAAGAAGGTGAAGGGGAAGGAAGGAGGGGGAACTGGAAGGAGAGGCGTGAGGGGCACCCTTGGGATGTAAAGTAAAAACCCTGAAATAAAAATAAATAAAAACTCAACTAAGCAATAAAAATAATTTTTATTTTATTATTATTTTTTTTAAAGAACCAACTAACTGGACTCAGCGGTGCATACCTTTAATCCCAGCACTTGGGAGGCAGAGGCAGGCACATCTCTGTGGGTTTGAGGCTAGCCTGGTCTATAAAGCAGGTCCAGGACAGCTAGGGCTATACAAAGAACCCCTGTCTCAAAATAAAATAAAATGAAATAAGAACCAAGTGTGTAGTTCCACTCAGCGGTGAAACAATGTATTGTATGCAAAGGCTCTGGGTTAAATCCCCAGCACTGTTTGAGCCAGGTGTGGCGACACACACCTCTGAGCACATCAGTCTGGGAAGTCTTAGCCAAGATCTGGAGGCCACCCTGGGCTACAGAATAAGTACCAACACGCCAACTAGGGATACACAGAAACTATCTCAAAATATATTTTATCTTTTTTTTTTTTTTTTTTTTTTTTTTTTTTTGGCTAATCTTTATACTTACACAGAGTTAGCTTTTGGTGGTTCCTGGTCCAGAAATTATGCTTTACAGAAAGTGGAACAGCATGTAAAAATGAATTAACAGTGCATTATTCTAAGGGAAATATCAGAGTGCCCTGGGGATAGTGTGCACGAGGAGACCAAACTGCACCTCTGGCATCTGCCTGCACAGACATGCACAAACACAAGTATGGTAGATCCCCAGAGTAGGCCCTCACGGCAGTGCCACAGCAGTGTTTTAGGGGGATGGTCTGGGTCCTGCCTGAGCTTGGTTTTGCTAGGACTAAACAGACTTAAAGCATTTCTCAGAAGCCCATAACAGCTGCCTGAAGGCTCCTGACTGCATCTGTCAGGCTCCTCTGCCCGACAGAGTTCCCATATGTGTAGGCCAGACTTGGAATATAATCTAAGCACTTAGACTATGGAGGCAAAGGGTGATAAGTTCAAGACTACAGGCACTGTATAGTGAGGTCCATTCTCAGGAAACACCCCACACACAGACACACACACACACACACACACACGTCCTTCTTCGGGCTTGTATATATTACATAGACTGGAGTGCAGATACTGTCTCCAGCTACTTTTGACTGTTCAGAAGGTGCTCTTCTGTTCCTTTGGCAGGTAGATTTTAGATTCCGATGTCTCTTAAACAATTAGATGCTTTTCATTTACAAAGTGTTGATTTTGATTTTTTTTTTTTTCCTTTTGATGTAAGTTTTTGGCCTGGAGATAAAGAAAGTGCGCAACTTCTCTGCTTTTTTGTTAAACCCACAGGAAAAAGCAGTTTCGGATGCGAGCGGCCTCGGTGCATTTTCAGCAGTCGGCGCTAGGTGGCGGTGCAGCGGGAGGGCGCAAAGCGGAGGGCGCGAAGCCTCTCTTAACAGACTCCGGCGGCGGAAAAGGAAGCGGCACGTGCAGCGCTCTACGGTGGCCGAGGCGCTGCGGGGGCTGCTGCGCCGCCTCCTGCTCCCTCGGCTCCGAAGCCCCCCGGGAAGGAACAGCGACAGTGGTTCCTGTAGTTGGAGCCCCGAGCAGGGCACCTGCGCAGCCGGCACAATGGTGAAAGAGCAGTTCCGCGAGACGGATGTGGCTAAGAAAATGTGAGACGCGGCCAGGGGCAGGGCGTGTCGGTGGCGGAGCCGGGGGCCCAGGGAGGCCCAGGGAGGCCCAGGTGTAGGACAGTTGTTAAGGGGGCGAAGAAAGAAGTTCCGGGATGGGTTTTCTGGTCTTGGGAGGTCCCTGAACTACGGCGCGAAGCATGAGGTGCGACGAGCTGTATCGTAACCTAGGCTAAGAAGCCGCCTCCGGAAGCCGTGCACCGACTCCTCTCGGCGAACCTTTTTTCCCCTGGGCGAGGGGGAAAGAGTATGCTGACCCAAGTAGCTAACAGTGCTTTCACAGGCAGCAAGGTGGCCAGCTCGGCAACCAAGCCTCCATTCTGGGTCCTCTGCCTCATGAGTTTTCAGGGCTTGTTTTTAAAAAGACGGATCCTTTCTTTTTTTTTTTTTTTTTTTTTTTTTTTCAACGTATGTGAGAGAGAGTACCGAGGCCAGTGTTGTGTACTAAAGGCCCTGCATAAATGGAGTGTTTGCTGTTTGGTCTAGTGTAGAAGAGACAGATCAGCCATAGTTGTGGCAAATGCAGAGGGGACGTAATGAGTAAGTCTGAGCTCATCACAGACCAGCCCCCTTTCAAAAAGCACACGGGAGGGACCGGGTGGTCTGATAGAAGTGAAGCAGGGCACTTACACTATGGGAGTCTTGCAGGTAGTGTCAGACTTTTGAAGTGTTTGACCAGGAGGCCGTGACAAGGCTCCCGACTGGGACCTGAAGTGGGGTTGAGGATCTGAGGGTGAACGTGGGGACATTGGAAAGCAGCGGATTCAAGAAGGCTTAAGGTATAAAATGGAAAAGAGAAGTAGAGATGAAGATGACCGAGAAATGAGAGTGGTATGGTCATGTGTGTGGTTAGCATTCACTGGAACAGATGTTTTACTGGGGTGACTTTCCAGCTGTTCTCAGTATCCACCCACCCCCGTACTTCACACAGACCATATTCACGTAAAGTGCTTTCTCACACAGCAGTCCACTGATACTGTAAGACTGCAGATGAGGCCAAGAGAGATGGCACAAGCCTATAGTCACAACACGTAGGTCAAGGCAAGAGGTCAAAAGTTTGAGCCTCTCCCAAGA